CTCTTGAAGTCATACTTCAAGTTGTTTTAAGGAAAGTATTAAGATTTTATTAGCAAAGAAGTATAAAAACTTCTTGCAAACATCTTTTTTGTATATGGTTAGAGGATCAGCAGAAAGAGTTTTTTTAAAAAAAAAAAAAAAAAACTGAATACAAATCTTATTTGAAATTATTAACTTTTGTTTATCAAATTTAAAATAGATATAATATGTAAAGTTGTAAACAATAATTTGTTATATAAGCTTGTTATTGTAAAAGCATGATATAAAAGATTTTGTATTATATGTTTGAGATATAACCAATTATTTATTTGTTTTGAAACTTTATTCTATTAAGCAAAAAAGGCTTAAACATTCTTCTAGATATCGTAAACCTTGAGTTAAACTGATTTATTGATTTGAATTATTATTTGTAAGACTTTTTTTAATTTAAGAAATATATTAATCTATATTGATCTGACTAAAAGCTTGTGGAATTAAGATTAGATTTCAAAAAGCTTACTGTGAATCAATATTCTTATGTTTTTCTTTTTTCTATAAAGAAAAAAACTATATATAAAACAGATGAATTTTTTTATATCTATTTAATATTTATTATTGATTGGTTGTAAATAGTATAAAGCTTGCTTGAAAGTTAAGAATTTTGCATATAAAAGTATTTTCTTGTATATAAAGTTGATTTTTCTTATTTTTCAATAAAATTATCAAAAAGAAAATTTTTAAAAAAGCTAAAGATCTTTATTATTAATAGTATTATTATAATATAATTGTAATTAATAGAAATCTATTTATATTTTAATATATTTCATATTAACTAGTAAAAATTGTATTATTTAAAAATTTAAAATCAAGTTAAGATAAATAAAAATTTTTAGAAAATCATAAAAGTAAAAGTTTTAAAAAAATATAAATAGCTGATAAAAAGAAAAATAAGTTTTTTTTACTATAAAAATTTTTTATAAACAATTTAATATAATAAAAGTGATTGTTTTATTTTTTAATTATTAGAAATTAAGTTTTGGATTAAAAAGATTTATAAATAAAAAAAAACAAAGATAAATATTATAAAGATATCTTAAAGTTATTTTAAAAAAAGTATTCAGATTTTATTAATCAAAAATTCAAAAACTTTTAAATAAATATATCTAATTTAAGAATTAGTATATAAATTTGTTTTTTTTTTTTTTTTTAGACTTTATAATTAATAAAAATTTATTTATATTTCAATAATCAATATATTTTATATTGATAATAAGAATTGTGTTATCTAAAAATTTAAGATTTAATTAAAATAAATAAAATTTCTTAGAAAATTATTAAAGTAAAAGTTTTAAAAATATATAAATAAATGATAAAAAATAAAATTAACTTTTTTATTATAAATAATTAAAAATAAAAATTTTTTTCAAATACTTTATTTTAACTTTTTTTAAAAACTTTTTTTTACTATTGATAATAAAGATATTTAACTGATTTTTATTTTTAATTGCCAGTAACCAAGTTTTTGATCAAAGAAGACTATAGATAAGAGAAAAAAAATAATAGTGACCCTTGAAAATACTCTTTAAATTATTTTAAGAATAATAATATGATTTCATTAATCAAAAGATCAAAACTTTATATAAATATCTTTTTTACATATGATCTGAGAATCAATAAAAAATTTTTTATAAAAAAATAAATAATAAAAAAAATTTTTATATAATAAAATTTCTAAATTTTTGTTTTTTTAAGAAATTAATAATTTTTTTTCAAATAAATGCTTTAAAATCGATTTTTTCATTGTAAACAAAACGGGATGTAAAAAAAATAAAGAATAATTATTGTTAGTGGTGTTACTTGTGAAATAATATAATTCCGATATTTTTTATGACAATAAAGGGTAAATCTCGGACTTTCATTTTAAAAATAAATAAATTATATTAATAGATGAATTTCACAAAGAATTCTTTTTTCAAATAAGGCACTATTTATTTGATTTACACTATATTGTAAATTATAAGATAGATAAATGCGGTATTAATCTACTATTTAATTTGGTAAGTTTCAAAGAACTTTGTGACAGATCTTTTTTTTGATCTCGCATCAAACGGGATAAAAATTCACCGTTTGACAATTCCGCAATCCATTGTGAGATTGTGGCTAGGATGAAATAACGCGTGATGAACATATTAACAAGGAATTCTGTCCGGAAAAGTGTTGCACAACCAATTCCAAATTAATTCATGATAATCACGATCACCTCTTGAGACATAAATGAAAGACCTTATCCGATTATAATCTATCTAAAAAATTCTTCCAACAGTTTCTGATTTAATCAATTATGCTGTAGAACGAAACAAATATTTGTGTTCTTTATTAAGCGACCAATCAATGTGTCAATAAGGCTGGTAATCAAATGTGAACAGTGTTCGTGGGTCTTATTCAAATATTATAGAGGTGAATTTGATACGTATGTACTGTATAACTAAAGGAATCGTCTAAGAAGTAAACAATAGTTTTCGCGAAATTATCAAGCAAAAAAGATATTTTGTTTATGCGTATATCAAAGAAGATTGAAAAAAAAAATATATATATAAAATCTTTACACAATAAAAAAAAAATATGGTGCGCAGAACTATTGGGGAATGATAAGGATGCGTAATTGCAATCCTCACTCGCTCTCTAATTCACCTTCCCCAGAATTTGACATCACGACATCACCATCACCGTTGCTACTGTTTGTTTCACCCCCGTTTTCTTCTGCCAACTGGGGAGCAGCGGAGACAGGGGACCCAGCATTACCATTTACCCTTGTATTTCCATTAGTACGTGCACCCGTACCTCGGCGTCGACCGCCACCGTTTCTCGTCTTCATGACCTCAAAATTTTGAATAACGTAATTTTTACACTTGTAGGCGTTAGGTAAATCTTGAATCATTTTCCTAATGGTGGCTTGTGAAAAACCAAAATAATCAGGACCCGATGCCGAATTAGAATGATCACGATGACGAATGGCATTGGCTTCGCGAACAACCGAAGTCCAGGCTCCAGTAGCCGTGTTTGCAATAATTGGTTTGTCGGGTTGGTCTTCCGCTTCAATCACAAACTAATTCGGAAAAAATATTTTTACTTAACTATACCCAAGGTTTTAGACCGAACGAGACAAATATTATAAACAACCTACCTTTGGGCCTTCACCACCATCTTCAATTTTGCAAACATACATTGTTTGGTTGTCGGGATTAATCATACTATTGTATGCTCTATTGAAACAAAAAGGTCAACTTGTGCAAAGGGAATAAAGCAAAAAAATTGTATACAAACTAAATTTACCTTTTGACGGCATACCCAACAGGCCAAATATATCTTTCATTATGGAAAGTATCGCGATCGTAGACAACGGTGCCAAGGTTCAATACAGTCAATATACCAATTTGAACCGGAAGTTTATAATTCCCTTTTTCATCTTGTTCAACGTGCTGGACTTTCATAGTCTTTGCATTGAGGGGACGTTTACTAGCTCGCTTCTTTGTGACCTTACCAGAAACATGAGTAGTTGGAACAGTGTTCACTATATTATTAGCAGGAGTAGGAGTAGAAGATTTTTTATTTGAGGTACGTCCACGAGACTTCTTTGACGGACGAACAGACGAAGCTCTAGATTGCTGAGCCGATGATACTATAAGTATCGTATATGTAAATACATGAGCGACAAGAATCATTATAGATAACGAACAATCAAGTTATTATTACGAGTTGAATAATTTACCATCTGAATCTAATGACTCATCGGACGAGAGATCTACCGACCTCTCTGAATCTGTAGTGTCGACATTTTCATACTGGCTGATACGATCCAACAACAGCCTAAGCAAAGATTAAAAATAACTTTTAAATCATATTCGCGCAAAAAAAAAACCCTCATTTTTTTTTTTTTTTTTGAAGAAACGGCGGAAAACAAGTATAACGTAACGTACTCCTTTTCTCTTTTAAGCGATTTAACTCTTTTACGAGACCTATCAAGTTCTTTGGAAACTTTTTCAAGATCCTGTACAATAGTCAGTTTTAAAGTAAGTTAGCTTCAAAGTGAAAATTTTTTATTTTATTTTGACCAGGGAAAACGTTTCCTTTATGTCACTTTGAACTTCTGTGTGATTGTTGATTGACAGTAGCTCGGGTAGATATTTGTTTATATGTAATAAAGTCCGAGCAAAGATAGAGGTTATCAATCAAGGTCTCCTCTTTTTTTTTTTTTTTTTTTTTGTAAATGTTTAGACTTATTGTCTGAGGTGCGTTCTAAGATCACTCGTTCTTAGTAAGTAAGGTTGTCGAAAAAACAGTCTACCTACAGTTTGCATATCACGAACCCTTCGCTTTAACTTTTGGTATCTCTCGTGAGGTACAACACCATTCTCATTAGACGTGTTGTGTTGCCCCCTGTTAGAATGGTTTTGTGCCATAGTGTGAAATAGTAGAGTATATTATAATAGAGAGTAAAAGGTTAACACGAAAAAGATTTGTTGTAAGAAGACTTTAGTTTTTTAAAAGTAAACAAAGTTTGGGGGTATGTAGTATTTTTATAGTGATGGGTAAATATGGTTGGAGCTGTGTGTATTATAGCAGATAGTACGCCCAACAATCTTCGGGTGTGTAAGGGAACAAGTGTCAGTCAAAAGACGCAAGTAAAGTTTTATTTTATGTGAAGAAAAATTATGAAGGGCTGAGGTAATGGATTGTATTGATGATTTTTACAACGCAGACGTAATTCATTTTGTATGGTTGTATTTAATTTGAATATTGCGGGGGTTTTGGTTTGGGACATACTGGACGGACGTTTCGGAAGGCTTGTGTGTGCTCTTAGTTCCAAGGACAAAAGCCTGCCTCTTTCAAAAGAGAAAATGATTTCATGCTGTCTCCAAACCTTTACTGATGCGACTTGATTGGTTAAGATGATGATGTGCAACGTCACATCATGCAATTACTACCCATAATCGGAAGGAACTGAGACTGGGTTGCTTATTGAAAGCCCGTATAAATTATATTTTAAAACTTTTTTTTTTTGAAGAAGCTACTGTAAAAAATTTTTTCGAATTGTGACACTCACATCAGACCTTTTATATATTGTTACATTTGCATATCAATAATTAATGGATCAAAACAAAAAATAGGTAATTTTTCAATTTGATTTAATTAAATATTAATTTAATTAATTGATAATATACTGTATACAATATAATATCTCATAAATTCTTATAGGAAATATTGTATATTTTTATAATTTAATAAAATTATTAAGCTAATTAAAAATTTAAATTATTTTATAATTAATAATTTTTTTTTTTTAAAAAAAACTCTTTCCGTTGATCCTTTGATCATACACAAAAAAGATGTTCACAAGAAGTTTTTATACTTCCTTGCTAATAAAGTCTTAATACTTTCCTTAAAACAAC